CTGTTTACATTTTAATCTGAGGACATTTTTGAGTTGGTCTGTTAGTGCCAAATCCCGCCACACCAACTAGAAATATGAACAAACATTCAGACACACCAACATATGCACGGACACTACCAAACCAACACAAAAATGGCCACTGGAATCCAAATATACACACATATAATGTATGATCTTGGTCAGTATCTAGATGGGTGGCTGCTCGGGAATATCAGGTACTTTTAAATCACGTGTGGTCGGTGTAATGGATAATGGGTCAGAACTGGGAATCGGAGAGAGCCAAGTTCCAATTCCAGTCAGGTTTGTTATAGTAATTTACACGCAAATACTCTTGTGAAAGGTATATAGGCACGTGGCTGAATGGTTAGAACGCTCGCATTCTGACCATGAGACCCTGGTGGATTTGTCAAGAAGGAAACTTCCTGATGTTATCAGACTGGAGGGACTGATTTAGAAAGTGCCTGAAAACCATACCACTGAATGGCCCAAGCATTGTGAGTGAAATTGGGAGCTGTCAATAGCTGTGCTAGCAGAAAATCACAAGTCATCGTGGCCGAGGGCTTGAGCATGCTGGCCTTGTTCAAATTGTTGTTCATGCTAGATAACACACTCTTTTCCAGAAATCGTAACTAAGGTCTGCTCAGCATAGTTGCAGTATATGTGGGTGTTGAATAAACACAAATGTGCCTGAGCAAGCATCTGCAATAGGGATTGGCTAGCCGCCCTAGTAGATAGGTATCCTCGAATACGAGTGGCCAGCTATACTCTGGGGAAAGGCATGAATCCACCTCTCCCCTAACCTGTGTGTTAATTAAAAGGACTTGTATCAGTAAATCATTATCACCCAAACATTCTAACAACCAAATTAAAATCTAATTATTCAGTTTATAGTTGCATTGACTTGTTAAGTTCAGTTTGTATGGGAGTCAAAAATTTTAAATAGGACTTGTTCATTTTTAGATTTGACATTATATTTCTAAGTGTATTGATCAAATATTTCCTTGGAGAGGGGGCATAAAAATGGTCAGGAACCCCTGCTCTAAACAGATTTTTTTTTTTTTTTAAACACTAAGGAGATGAGTTCAAAATACACTTATTCGAGTGAGGTGAGCTGAATGAAGTGACTGAAAGAAAATGTACAACAGTGAAAAAAATAAAAGAAATAAAAACAAACAAATAAGCAATTAACTTCCTTGTAAAAATATCTTTATTGTGCACGAACTACATCTGATGAAAATGTACATCTACGAATGTCGTCCGAGCAATTAGACATCAGAACGGAGACATTGTAGTCCTTCACAATAATTGCTGCAGCCACTGTCTTCGCTGCGACAGGCCCAATAACAAGTGCCAATGACGCAGGAGAAGTGCATAGATAAAAACACCACTTAACCACCCTGCCCAACCCACCTGCCATAGACAAAAAAAAAAAAAAAAAAAAAAAAAAAGGAAAAAAGGTAAAATGCTTTTTTGTTTTTTTTTTAAACTGTGGTTATATAAAAAAAAAAAAAAAAAAAAAAAAAAAAAAAAAAAAAAGAAAAAAAAGCCACCTTTTAAGGTTTTTAATTTTATTTCTGGTCTGTACAGGTTTTCACTTGTATTTTTTCCCCAAATTGTATTTTTGTTTTTTTTTGTTTTTTTTTTCATTTAAAAAGTTGTTTTCTATTTTCCATTATGAAATCATCTGTCTTTCCAACAATATGCATATTTCTATGTCTTCAAACATTCACTCTTGCATTCATAGTAGAGGCTTTTATTCACTTAGAAATTCATTCATCCACACAATTCATTCACATACACACACACAAACATTTACTCACATGCAGGTATGTGCATATTTACACATGCATGCGTGCGTGTGTTTGTGCATATACACATATACATATGAGCTATATGTATCTACGTATATACACTCTTCTTTTTTTTGATTTTTAAAAACAATTTTTGCCGTGTTTTTTTTTTAAATTTAGGTTTTTATACATTTTTATTTTTCTGATTTCTTTTCTTTTTATCTCCATTCATTAGCCAGACCGTGAGGTGTGATGTGGAATGATACAATGCACTTGAATAATTTAAACATACAGATGTGCCTAATATTATCATCATTATCATAGGAATAATTACCATCATCAATAATAGTAGTAGTAGTAGTAGTAGTAATAGCAATAATAATAATAATAATAATAATGTTTCTTCATTATCTTCTCTTTCATTAATAGTATAATTAATCATGGGGGTTGGGAAGGCTCACAACAAAGTGATGAGGGGAGGAGGTGAAGCAGTAGTTTACAGATTTGCCAGCCAACTCCCAACTTAGCACTGACCAAACATGAGTTCTTAGGTTCCTCTAAATATTTAGGTTTTTCTTTCTTAGGCAAGCAGAAGAGTCTGAGGAAACAATAAGAAATATTGTTTTTTGTTTTTCTCTGCAAGGTCGTCCCCCACCCCATCAAACTTATTATAGATTAAAAAAAAAAAAAAAAAAAAAAAACGGAATTGGTATTGGAGGACCTACAAATCTCATTTTTCCTTCTATTTTTTTTTTTTTTTTAAAATTTAATTTTGCAGTGATTTATATTTTTTTTCATTTTTTTTTTTTTAAATTATATTTTTCAAGTTTAGAAAAAGGCACGCTACGGAAGAAGAGGTAAGAACTGAAATGGAAATGCTGCAAGGTTTCGGAGTGGGGGGGGGGTCTTGAAATGATTAGTGAAATGCAGCAGAAGGCAAAGAATGTTCGAAGCATAACAAGAGAAACAAAAAGATTTTTTTTGTTTTTCAAAAATAAAAAAAAATATAAAAAATAAAAATAAAATAAAATAATAAAAATAAAAATTTAAAAAACTGTGGGAAATCTCCGATTTGGTTAATGTGATGAAATAATTCATTCCTTACTTTCAATGAAAAAAAAAAAAAAAAAAAAGTAAAAGAAAGAAAGCCAAGCACTGATAGTTTTTCTTCCCTCTTGTTGAAGTGTAGATAATAAGCCTACAAGCAATAGTGGTAGTGAGTGTGGGTGGTACAAGGTTATTTTGAAGACTGTCATATTAGAGGAGGAGAAAAGAATTGGCACTTCCCAAAAAAAAAATAAAAAAATAAAAATAAAAAAATAAAAAAATAAATAAATAAGTGGGTGGTAGATATAATGACAAGAATTGTTTCTAAAGAGAAGCAAGTATTTGATTCGACCAACAACAGCTCTGCTTTGTGACCAAAATTGTAATGTGTCAATTGCTAAATTACAGGAAAAATTTAGCTATTGCTTATGAAGGCAAAGATTGGGGTTTATTGACAGTGAAAATATCAACACCAGAGATGCATTTCAGATGATCTGGCATCAGAAAGGACATTGCATTGCATAATTTAAACACAAGTTGATGAACATTGGCAATGATAAACTGACCAGTGATGCATAGACTGGATTCACATTATATATATATATATATATATATATATATATATATATATATATATATATACACACACATATATATATATATATATATATATATATATATATATATGTGTGTGTGTGTGATACGTATTTAAAATTAAATGTGATAAATACGATAACTTTATGGCTGCATTCAATCCTTATAAAAAATAATCAGACTCATTATTTATAGAATTGCCTTTTAATTTAAAAAAATCTCTCACAATTGGGAAAAAAAGTTCACGTGTTGGAAGATATGAAAATTCCATGTCTAAAATCAATTAATTTTCAATTAAATTTATTTACTTATCATTTATGGTATGTTTATAACAAAGAAAAAAAAAGGTCAATATTCTACTTTCTGTTTGCTAAACTTAAAAAGGAAAACAAAATCATTATATTTGAAATATATGTCATTTTTTCTATGATAATAAGCAGGTATCAAAAACCATTAAAATATTTTAGTATATTTACAAGTAATGAATTGAGGGGTGAGGGTCTTTTCTTTGCAAGATTTTTGCAAGGAGTTTCACAAATATGTGAGAGAAACCATCCTCATTACTTTACATCTGAGCTATATCTGTAAAGGACATTTAAAACATTTTTAGGCTATGAAAAAAAAAAGTAAAACAATTTTTTTTAATTAATCCAAAATGGGAGAATGATAGACTTTATGTATAGCTTTAAGTTTTCTGCTTATAAGATTTACATATGCAACTCAAGTGATTTCATATTTGAGTCAAAGACAAACCATAAAATAAAAAGATCAAACATCTACTTAGCTGATTGTTTAAGTAGAGCAATAGTAATTTCTTTCTCTCTCACTCTTTTCTTTTTTTCTTTCTTTCTTTCATTCTGAATGAAGATGAATGGGTCAAGAAGAAATCATCATTCTAATTCATTATCAACAGAAATAATCCTTTAAAAAAAATATAAACAAAAAGAATGTTTTTGCTTTCTTGTCTTTTTTTTAAGCAAGGGAAGACTTTTTCTGCAGGAACTGAAAACAAGTTTATATTTTAGGAAAACACCTGGAAAATGTTTGTGCATTTTTTTTTTTTTTTTTAGCTCCCTTTTTATTTTGTAAAAGCTTGTAGCCATTTGAAATAAAATAATAATAATAATAATAAAACAAGCTGAAAATATTTTTGAGAGAGGAGGGATTGAAATTTCAGCTCAGAGTTTGGACAGTGAAAAAAGGAAATTGGAAACAAAGGCTAAAGTAAATGTTGAAAGAAAATAGAAAGAAAAAAAAAAATGAAAAGAAGAGCAGATAATGTTTGATTTGAGGTAAATTAAAAAAAAGAAAGGAAAAAAGTCCACTGTTTGAAGGAGGCAACAACAGAGGTGGGAAAGTTGGAGATGATCTGGCCTGGCTAATAATCTACCTGCGGGTGTGAAGAGTAGTAGAGTATGGGAGGATAAAAACAATGACAAGATAACAAAGAGATAGTTAATATGAAGTGTGTGTGTGTGGGAGGGGGAGTAGGAGAGGATCAGGTGGGAGGGGGGTAGTTATAAAACAGAAGAGGAAGAGGGGAAGGAGAAGGAGGAGAAAGGTGCTATGTCAACAGGCCTCCAGGGTTTCAATCACGCGGGCAATGGAACGACTTCCAGAACCTCCGGATGCACTCTGCGAAAAAGAAAAAGAAAAAATTAATGCATTTTAGGAAATACACTAATAATGATTGAAACATGAAAAAAAAAAGAAAATTATTTAAAATGTAAACAAAAACAAAGGAAAAAAATGACAAAATAAAAAAAATCACAAGACTTACAGTGAGGTTCATAAATTCAAGGAATTTCTTTAATATTTTGATCATTGGTTCAAATCCATTTGGAAGATGTTCCTTCACTTTTTCAACATGGCTCTGGAAAAAAAAGAATTGAATGTAATTATATATATATGTGTGTGTGTGTGTGTGTATACTGAGAAGATAATGGTTGCCCATTTGCTGCATGAAGATGACCTTCAAAGTGGCAGCAGTAGTTCCTGCTCTGACCTCTGGAAAATTGATGGTATCCACATGATTATTTATCATCAACCATAGTTTGCATGTGAACTCTCACTCAGCATCTGACAGTCTTCATCTAATGACAAGAGCTAAAAGTCTAAGAAAGCTAAAATTTTAGGTTATCTTGTTCCTCATAGGGGGGATACTCAAAATATATCTCACCCGGCTAAAATGTTAAAGCTGGTTACCATATGCATACAAGTCTTTGACCATAAGACTGAAAACTTGGAAATAAACAGTTATATTTGTAAAAAAATATGCACTGGAAAATAAAAACAAAAGTGCTTACTTATAAATAAATAAAAAAAAGTGTCTAGTAATGGCATGAAATTCAGAACAAAGGCAACTGTAACAGATTCATTAAAATCTCTCGGGCAATAAAGTTTGGGTTGTGAAAGCAATTGCAATTGCACGCACTCACTCACACTCTCTCTCTCTCTCTCCTAAATTGAACATTATCATGATAACTTCACAATAGGCCATTATAAAAAGAAAAGTGAAAAAACATAATGCTGGTTTTTGGGCTTCTTTATTAACAAGTCCAAACTAATTAATATTCCAGAATGTCAATCTTGAAAAAGAACAGGATGTGTGGAATTAAGAGAAATAATTAAAATATGAATGAGTCATTGGATAACATGGAAAGAAAAGTTCCTGGATTAATTTCTTTTGCTAACTTAAGAGAATTTCAATTGACAAGAGCACAAGGGTATGGTTATTTTGGGAGACTAGTTGCTTCTGAAATTTGCAAGATTTATTAAAGAAATCCATTAACACTTTGATTCACTCAAATGATTCCATCTATTGTGACATCTACTAAAAGCATAGATAGGAAGCAAGATGCGGATATTTCTTTGGGTTGTTCTGATATTTACATATATATATATATATATACACACATAAATGTACACATACATATATACATGGACACAGACATGTACATACATATATATATATATATATATATATAATTACACCTTTTCTTTTCCTACTTTGTTGAGATGGCTGTGTTCACCTTCATTCAAATTAATTGATAAATTTGCAAACTGTTCAGCAAAGTTCCTATCTGGGGTTCAAGATAAATTGAAATCAAACACCTCTTTAAAGAACTGCACCAGCATTTGAATAGATACCCTTATGGAAATGATGGCATTCCATGTGGAAAAAAACACATTTTCAAATACCTATTTGAGCAAAAACTAATTTGGATGGTCAGTGCACACTTTCACACATCAGCAGGCAAATGGCTTGGCTAAAGGTTCATTATTAACAGAACTGATAAGCATACACCTCAGATATTTCAACGAAATGGCTTTCAAAAGAACAGCAACAAAGCCAGCCATGTGGCTGAAATATACTGATAGACTATGTAATCTCAATAAGAACTTCAGTGCAGTTCACTATAGAAGAGGACAATAAACTGGCCTTTGCTCAATGTGATAATCAATTTACACAGTATGGGTTCAAGTCATCTGTATATCATAAACCAACAGTTACTGGACAAAATGTGAACATCAATTCCCATCATCCATACAACATGGTAAAGAAGAAAAAGAACAGAGTCAGTGCACAGCCTACAATATTAAACAAAACTAATAATTATCAAGAGAACAAGCATTGAGAGCTTCCAGAAACAGAAGATTCAAAGCCAATAGCCAGAAAACTGCCACAGATACAGGCATGTTGGTAAACATTCTCATAAGATCCGTAACCCATAAAACATCAGGAGAATATTTAAAAGTAATTTCAATTTTCAGAGCTATCTCACCCAAAACAAGCCTCAGAAGAGTTCACTGGCTTGGTGGAAGAGGTAAGCAACATCACAAAGAAGAATTAACTGATAGGAAACATCCCTTGGTAGAATGAGAACACTTATTTCCACAGATTGAATAAAGGACTCAGTTTCAAAGTCCTGAAAAGTTACTAACTACAAGAAACACCTGAAGAAGGCTGGCGGGTGTAATGTCCAATACACTGTGATGTAGACAACCAAGGTGAGGATAGTAATCAGAGTAAATAATTGTATATAAAAAAAAAAAACAATGAATAAATATCAGAAGTTTTATTCAGATGTGCTAAGTATCTGATTTTTGGTAGATTATTTTTAAACTCAAGGGTATATTTGGTGAATGTTGGCAACCATTGATTTTCTTGGTCTTTTTCCCCAATTACAAGCATAAACATAAATTTTTAAAAAAATTAGATTTTCTAAGAAAATAATATTTATATAAGAATCTTTTCTTTTTTAATTCCTTTTAATTATGTAAATTTTATGAAAACTGATTAATGAGCTTTTTTGTCAAGACATGTCTGAATTTTTGACAACAGGAATGCTGTAGTCATTGCTATCTTTCAGTGAGCTATGGACATTTGTTGTCAGTCCCTGACGTACTCAAAAGAAACAACTGCTCAAGAATCTAAATCTATTTTGAGAAACCTGAGTATTTGGCTTACACTCATTGAGCTCTTTTCTGAATGATTCCCACAAGATTGCAAGAAACAGGAAAATAATTGAGTAGAAAGTTTAACGACAAAGAAAAAGAAGCAAAAACTAATTTGGATGATCAGTGAACACCTTCACTTTTTTTTTTTTTTTTTTTAAAGTAGTCCCAGAAATAGTGGACTGGATTTCTCTCACTCCTTACAAGAAAAATGCCGTCATTAGCCACTGATATAGATAGACCACCATTTCCTCTAATGAAAAAGACCAAAGTGTCAGCTTAAGTTGATCAGATGAGAGCGAATCACTTCAATTAGATTCATCAATTGTATTGAGAGAGAGAGAGAAAGAAAGAGTGAACAGGAGAATAAAGAACAAGAGAGGGAGGTGCTCAACAAACTCTCCCAAGTAGAGCTGGAATGACCTCCCTTTGTTGACCTGACATTCCCCCACCTCCTTCCCCTATTTACTTCAGGTTCCAAGAAAATATTGATTAATTGGGTTGGAAGGGGGAAGAAAGAAAAAGGAAGGAATAAGAAAAGAAATGGAGAAAGAAAGGAGAGTAAAAAAAAAAATTCTTTACTGAATAATAGTAGTAGTAGTAGTAGTAAAGGGAGTAGGAGAAGTGGTAGCAGAGGCATGCAGTGAAGCAAGCAAAGATAAAGTACAAAGACTAGCTAATTCACAGCAATAAACTGTTCTATTCAAACATGTACATGTATGAGAGAAAAAGCAAAAATAACCAGTGACTGAGAATACTGTTATGTGTGTGTATATATTATATATATATATATATATATATATATATATATATATATAATGTGTGTGTGTGTGTGTGTGTATTGCGGTAAAACCAGCAGGGAATTAGGATGGTGGCTGTTGATGGCAGCAATGCAGCATAGAGCAGCAGATAAAGTGGGAGCCTGAACAGAGTGTATTATCATTATGGGATGTCAGCCACCTCATTCAAATGAGGAGGGGAAGACAAAAGAAAATGGGTGAATGTGTAGTAATAAAGGAGCAGGCAGAGTATTTTTCTTTCTTAATTCAATCCTCATTCCCATTCTTCCCCCACCATTAAAAGCCAAGACAGACAGTAGAGGGGAGAACAACAAAATGAAAAAAAAAAAAAAAACAAAAAGAAAAAAGAAAGAAAGAAAAGAAAAGCAGGTCAAGCAGATGGGAGTTTATAGTATTGGGCACATGTAAAAGCCATTCGAGTAGGAAGCCTTGAGATTGGGGTGGTGGAGGGAAGCTTTCCTTCCACATTTGTGTCTGACTGCTACAACTGCCTCCACATTGCTGCTGCTGCTGCTGCTTTTGCTACTACTCCTACAACAGTCACATGCAAGCAGGAGAGAGAGCATCAGTAAACAGGATCTTTGCCAGGATTAATACACAAGAAGATGTACATTAAATTTCTCTTGGGGACTTAACTCACTACATCATTATGAGCTAGCAATAACATCTTACCATCATCAACCAAATTCCACTTAGCAGGCTCTACATACATTTACATTTTTATACAAATCAAACAGACAAGATACAGCAAAGACTCTTCTTAAGGAATTCAAGGATTTTATTGTAAAATTGGAAGTGATTCTGTTGGCAATATTAACCCTATATATATATCTCAATAAATAAAGGAATACACAGGACAATAGACAAGATTTTTTTTTTTTTTAAAGAGAGAGAGAAAATTATAAAATTATATAAGGTTTGAGAGTGTGCTGAAAAGTTCCCAGCCCATCTCACTTCCTAAAATCTGACCCAGAAATTTGGGGCAAAGAACTTTGAAATTTTAGTTCAAGAACTTTTGTAGATGTAAAAAAAAAGAAAAAAAAAAAAATGACAGAAAATATGAAGATGGCTTTCATTAATGAATTATATATTTTAAATTAAAATAAATGTAAGTCATGGAAAGTACTGACTGCTTCACTGAGGAAAATAATAGTAGTATTAGTAGCAACGTTTTCCTTTTAAAGGTCTTCCAAAATATGTTCTAACCCAGATTCTTAACTTAGGGACAGACAAAAATGGAGGTAGTAGACATAGACGTTGAATGAATGAGTGGGTTAACAAACATTTTAAATATATGTAAATCATCGAAAGTATTGGAGAGTAGCAGTTGGAGAGCAACATGAGCTGAAGAAACATTTTTTAATTCTTGATTAGAACTACTATTTGTAATAGTAGTAGTATTAGCATATTTATTCAGCAAGTAAAAGGAAAAACTTGTTCAAAAGGATAATCTGAGGAAGAGTAAGAGTACCATTTAAAATGAAGAGGGTTATATTGGATAGTAGGATGAGGAAGTGGAGGAATTAGTAATTAACAAAAGAGAGTGACTGCAGTAACTCTCAATCCCCCACCTCTCTCTCTCTCTCTCTCATGCTCCTCATCTTAATTCTCTCTCTTCCACAAAGTAATAATTAGCATTTATAAATAGAAGACCAAGTGACTCTTCTCATCTGAGCTGATTACAGCCAGGGCTGTTCCTGCTGATTTTCCCAGCTGGTGGTACTTGGATACAGCTTACAACCTATCATTACTTGGAATTCAACCCTAATGGAAAGGTGATTCAGTACAGAGATACTTGTAACCAGGCCAGGTGGGGGTCTGTCCTAACCAGGTCACACACATGGCATTGATATACATAAACAAACTTCTGATGATGATGATGAAGCAGAAAGATAAAGATTCTACTGCTGACATTATGTTGTTTTTTTTATTTTTCCAAAAATATTACTCATTATAGAGAAAAAAGATATACTTCAATTCTTTTGAAGAAAAAAGGAACTCAAATAGAATTTGCTTTAAAAAAAAAGAAAAAAGAAAAGAAAAAAGGTTTTCTTTTAGTTTAAGAGAAAACTTATGAAAGATGACTGGAGAACAGAAACAAGAGAGAGAAAGGCAGTTGATAGCAAACATTCCCAACATTAAAGCGAGCAAGCAAACTAGTAACATTAACAACATGCTAACACCTTAGCTTAATTTTTATGCTCACCCAGAAAATCTGACTGACCTTAGTTCAATTTTGATAGGTAGTCAAGTGCAGTGACCAGTGAGCAACACAATAATATTCATTGGCAGATGAGAAACTTAACAATTGATTGGGAGGTGGGGGCATATATTGGGAGTAAGCATTTTGTGTGTTAATACAGGTACAATGACATTCTTCTAAAAGAGAAATGTTTCTTGGAAAGAAAAAAAAAACAGTAGAAATCATCTTTTGTTGTTTATTAAAGATGCCAGCTACTTATCTGCACCTTATAATTCAGTAGTAAACGGTTTTCCTTTTTAATTAAAAAGTTATTTTCAGAGAGAGGGACAACCAAGCATAGAACAGCAGGTTATTTTATTTTTAGAAATGGACAATGCTTTGCAAATAACCTAAGCCTTATATCTAAACGAACACAGCCTTGTATGTACTTTCAGACACTTTTCTTAGAGTTATGACAATCGCTTGCCAACTTCTTCCCACCTCCAGCACAGTGATTATTTCTTAAGGCAAGCTTATTACTTTCCAGGGAATGATTATTTTGTTCCAGGAATCATAAGTTCTCTGCTTATATAATAAGTTTAAAAATTTCCATTGGTATGATCAGCCTGGACAGCACTACAAAAGACTACCAAGTGACAACAGAATGGTTTAACCATTATCACTCTATATGTGACTATATTTGCTGTACAAAAAGTTTATCTTGTCACTGAAGGTGACTCTGATCCTTGAAAAATAGTGTGTTTGAATTTCATAGTTGTCATATCCCACTATGGCAACAGAAAACAACTTTGAGTGAAATTAACAGTAAGAATACTGCAATTGAGAGGCCTTGAAAAAGAATGCACTGGAAAAGGAAGTAATATTAATAATGTAGTATGCTAAAGGTTAAAAGCCTGTAGCATCTCTTTTTCTTCTTCTCAGGTGCCATGTGTATTCAGGACATAAGCGATCATGATCCACCACAGTTTCCTCTCTCACTCTAAATGGTGCACTGCCATGATGGTTCTTAGGAAAGATAGTGAAATACTTTCCTACTGCCTTCTCCACAGTTTTGAATTTAGAATTGTCTTTTTTACAAGAATGGTTACCCTCCCAAGACGAGAGAGAGAGAGTGTGTGTGTGTGTGTGTGTGTGTGTGTGTGTGTGTAACAACTTTAAGTTCATGCCTTTCCAAAAGGCCTTAAGTTCCATATGTGATACAAGTTGGCTGATCATGTCTCTTTTTGATTCATGACTATGCAGAAGATTTTCCCACATTAGGCAGCTATATCTTTCTGCAGTAGACTGGTTGCCAGCCAAAGTTATAGAATCCAATGTGTCCTGCTATTCAACACACAGCTGGGAGAAAAGATGGATTCATACCTTTTTCCAACATTATTTGTGCATAAGCGAATGTAACAAAGCCAACAAGAATTTGAACTCAGCTCTCTGATTTCTCATTCTGAGCCAATATTCATTACACCACCATTAAATATCCGTAAAGCCCCTATGACTGCAAACTATCCCAGCTAGAGTTTGAACCTGGCTTACTGATTCCATTTTCCATGGCATTATCCTTCAGGATATACTTTTCATTAACGCATTCTGTCATCACAAAAAAAAAGTAAGGCAAAACATGTTAAGTTTTGATTTGCAATATTGCTTGCCAACATTTTGGTCAGGACAAAATACAGCTATGACTGAGAATTCACCATTTTATCATTACTTAAGTAAATATCATATAAGCAAATATGTCAGGTGTAATTGATGGATAGCTCATCTGGTAACACAAGACTGAGAACCTTCTACCAGGTGTTTAGCATTACTTTTACTTGTCTGTCTGTCAGAGTATATTGATGGATTTGTCAAGCAAGAGGTCAATGTATGCAAACAGACAAAGTAGAAGGACATTAACAATACAAAAAATCTACTACAAAGCTTCGATAGATAGTGTCATGTTTTGAGAGTTTGAATCATAACAACAAAAGGATTGAGATACATAACCGAGTGTAGGTTATTTAACAACTAACTTTTTATTTCTCAGGGGAAATTCAATTCTCTTAACAGCTCAGTTGAGAAGCAGGCCATAATTAACTGCAAAGGACACTTAAGGCTAAGAGCAAACTCCCATGGATCAAATGAATGATTTAATTTGCTATTCACAAATGTTTACCGATTTCAACATACACCTGAAGAAACCTAAAAGTACAGAAAACAAAACAACAAAGGCAAGAAAACTGGTGTCTGAAGGAATCAATGAATAATAACTTAATTACTTGTTTGATTTAATTATTATTGCTTTCAGAACAAATCTATTGTAGTAAGGCCATTAGATGTTGATGTTTTCACAATCAGTGACATGATAAAACCACTGTGCTATGACAAGAATTACTGTCTCTATTGAAGATGAAAAAAAAAAAAAAAAAAAAAAACAGAGCTGAATAACAAAATATCTTTCTTCAGATCAGATTGGACTGAAGTATTTGCTGAGAGCTTGGTAGCTTAAATTGGAGGTCTCTTGCTCTCAGGGAGGTGTATGGGGGATCATTTTTCAATTAGGTGTCTGGGTGGACTTGGGAAAAGAGTATTTCTGATATACTGAAATTTATATGGGTCATACAGACCTAGAGACCCACAGTAAAAAACAATCATCTAGCTGCTGCATAACTCAGGAAAAAGACATATTTCCGTTCATCTCAACTGGAGAAATCAATGCCTATCCAGACAGAGTGAATTGAAACAAAAATAAAGTGTGACAATTATTTTGGCAACGAGATTGACTTCATGTTACTGATCACATATTTGTGGATCAAAATGAAAGCTTAATTCTTTTCTTCCATGAGATTTTCAAGGCCAAATGTTTCTAGAATAGATGGCCTGCTTATCTGCTGACAATAAGACAATAATTACTGCTATTTATTTTGTAGAATGCCAATAGAAGAAACAAACAACAGGAATGATATAATAAACTAAACAAGAACTCACCTGGTTGTCCTGGATCAAACACCCTATCAACAAGGCAACGTAGGCAGCAACAAAGCTGTTTTCCATGTGTTTTCCAGCTTCATGTAAGGCTATGAAAGCAAGAAACAAAAAACTTTTCGTTAAAACTAGAATCAAAAACAAAAAAATAAAAGAAAAGTTTTGTTTCTTGTAAAGGAAAGTGATTTTTATTTTATTTTTTACAATAATGTTCATCCTATACATGCCTCAAGAGGCACTCGAGGTAGAGGTTTACAGATTAGGAGGCACCACTCCAAGCTAGGTGATAATGCCACCAAGATGCAAGGGACCACTGGAAGTGAAAAAGAAAGAAAAGACTGCAGAGGGAACTGGAAAATCATAAACCGGAAACAAGGGATATACCTCAACTACCGTTCAAAAAACTGGGGAGGAGTGTGAACCGAACAATCTACTTCTATTGAGGAGTATAAAAAAAAAAAAAAAAAAGTAAATAAAATCTCAGAGTTTAGGCAGAGATGCCAGAAATATAGAGTTGAAGTAGAATTTAGAAGCAACTGGAATCCTAATCCTTAACAGGAAACAATGGATAAAGTTTTACTCCTGTTCAAAAAAACTGGAGGAAGGGAGGATAGTTAAAATAAAAATAAAAATTGGAAAACTCAGTTGAGGAATAAAATATTGCAATCAATTTTGATGAGGAAGATGATGTCAGGGAGGGTAGAGTTATAAAAAAAAAAGAAAAAAAGAAATTATGATGATGAGAACAACCTATATTGTGAATATAGTTGGGATTGGTAAGCTTAATGAAATTCAAAGAAATAGGATAAATTAATAATTTACAAATGTGTAGAGTTAGCCATTTTTATTATATACTCATGTTATATATTAAAGCCTTTTAAGTCTACACCCTCATCTGCTTTACTATTAATTAAAATCTTAAGAGAAACGTATGTGATATACTTTCTGTTGGTAAAAAAAGAAAAGATGATTACACATTCACATTTAATTTAAGACTTAATTGATAACTTAATTAACAGTGAAGTTAATAAATACCCAAGCATAATTGAATATTAATTCAGTCAACTTGCTTGGAGGCAACAATTTCTTCATTTGCCCCCACCTCAAATGAAATAGGAGGAGTCTTTTCTTTTATATATTATTGCTAAAAAACAAAACACACCAGTACAAAGCAAACATAACCAAACAATAAGACCATTGCTATACATTGATTTAATCAGATAATACCATGCCATTTAAGCAGATTTAATTACCTGGTGCTTAGAAGTTCAATCCTTGAATCAGGTAGTGCAGATATGCTTTCTAAATTAAACATATCAAAGGATCTAAGATCTAACAATTAGGCAAGTGAAAAACAAAAGAGATTTAAGGAAACTGAAAGATATTTTTACCTACATTGACTATAATCAAAATAAAATAAATTTCAAACAAACCTTTTGTGAATTTTTCTTCAGCGTCTTCATCATCTTCAACATTTTCTCCATTTTGTCTGCGATCCTCTACCTCTTTCTCTGCTTCTTGTTTCTTTTTAGTCCCTACGATCCATTGCAGGCATGAATCACTCTCTTGCCAGTTGCCACTCTTGTTGGGAGAAGATTCAGCTGCAGTGCCAGAGTTTTCTTCCTCTTCTTCTTGGGCCTCCATTTCACGGGCAGCTTGCTCCTTTCGGCAAAACAACTACAAACAAAGCACAACCACGAAAATGAAACATACAATCATTGAGAAACAGACAACAACACTGAAGTAAATTATAACTTGAATTTAACTGCAGTATTTTTGCTTGATGTTGGTTTGCATAAGAACTTTCCAATTCCAACCTCACATGTAATAGTTATTGACTCATTAGACAAGTATGATTATTGCTGACAAGTTATCCATCTATCCAGGTTTGGGTATTTTGAGATTAGCTTCTTCTAAACTGGTTGCCAGCTATGGCTGAAGAGCCCAACCTGGCCTACTACCTAACCCATAACTGAGGAAACAATAGATGTTAGCAATGTCTGTACTGAGATTATAGTCATATACATCTTGCACAATGTTGCAACAACACATACCAACAATGTCAAGAATTTAGTGGGCTAACTGCATGCCTGAAGACTAACCCAGGTAATTATATATATATATATATATATATATATATATATATATATATATATATAGAGGGTGCAATGGATAAATTGTCATCTAAATTACACAACAATGTCATCTCATTTTAACAGCTATATTTACCAGAATTATACAAAAATATTTTGAAATACTAAAGAGTAAATTTATTCAATAAAATTGCCATTGGCTTCAACCATGGCCTCCAAAATCTCCTGCAACTCTTCTGGATGGTCTCCTTGTTTAAGTTGGTGAATGCTGCCAAAATCCTTACCTTCAGTTCATCTTTGATGTTACAAGGAGTCTTTTTTGGTCTCTTACTCAATTGTGCCCTACACATAATAATCAAGATGTTTGCAGTCTGGGGAGTTAGGGGCTCAGATGTAAGGGATGATGTGGCTGCAGAAATTGTCTGACATCTATGACTGCTTGTGTGGCATTGTGCAGAGTCCTGTTGTCAGACATAGGGTCTTCCAGCAGCCACCCTCTTGAACCAGGGCAGTATTACTTCTTCAAGGCACTTGATGTAGGCCTCTGTGTTGAGTCTGAAACCATATGGAAAAGTGAATGGAGGCACTTGATGTAGGCCGTCACTAGTGATCACTGCAATCACCTTTGTAATCACCATTACACTCATCCAACTGTTTCAGAATCCCCTTCACTGTCCTCAGATTGACACACAAACACATTGAAATATTTGTATTGGACCTACCAATGTGAATGCCAAACAGTACAGCATGCTGTTTCAAAATTTCTTGCAGAGTGAATTGCATCATGGTGCTTTTTTTTCCTCACAGACGGTGCCCAACTGACCCTACTATACTGTGCAGTTGACAAAATCAAAAACAAACAACACACATAAAATATAAAATGGCAACAATTTATCCATCACACCTTGTGTGTGTGTGTATATGCACCCATGACAGACAAGAATATAAATATGCTATCTGCCAAGCAATAAGAAATGGCAGCTTGCTACATATGTATTTCATAATTATTCATTCAGCCTCTTTTTAAAGCCTGAAAATATTGTATTGACAAATTATCCTTAAAAAATGAAGTGTGATATTTGTGAACTGGCTGAAGGCCCTTAAAGAAAGCCTTTATAATTATATGCAATTTTCTTTAAGCTCAAAAGCAAAACAAATTTCAAAACTGAAAAGAAACCCAAATTTTACTGCATTTGAATAAACCAAATGAAAGCAATTTTGATAGGTTACCATTGTAATAGGATGTGTTTCTTTCCACACCAAATGAGAAATTTAGCTAAGATATTGTCGGTCGTGGAGTGCAATAATAAAAATATCAATATTCTTGTTCTTAAAAGCCACTGATCTATTGAATCAATGGGTTTTAAAGGAAATACTACAGTTTATCAAATTGTACGAAGAGTAAGATGTTAGAAAGTAAAAAACTACAGAATGCCAACAGCAGCAGACAGGAATTAAGATTTCAAATCTTTTAAATAAAAGGGAGCAAATGAAAATTCTAAAGAAATGCTAATATTGACATGTCACAGATTTGATCACTTGAATAGAATTTCTAACTACTTAAATACCAATTTCTATAAAAATTTCTCTTAAAAACATTAAAAACCATGAAAGCCATATTCTGTGACAGAAAAAAGTAAAGAGAGTGCGGTAATAATGAACCTACCCCCGTCTTACCCCTTTCAATAATAACCTCCCTGTATAAAAGGGCTATTTAATTAGTAACCATTCAGTTTTTGTTGAATAAAGCTTCTTAAATTTATATTTGATGATGTTTATTCATTACAGAGTGTAAGGCTTGATTTAGGAATTAGTAATCCTTATAACTGTTAAAAGACTATTTTCATTTTGTTTTTGACTGATTAAGCTTTTAATCTCAGCATTTTTTTGTGGCAGTTAAGAAACTTGGTGAGAAGCTTTGATTCTTGGAGAGAAAGATGCTTATAAAGCATCTGGAATATTTTTTTTTTTTTTTTTTAAATCACGAATAGCGACACTTGATATTTGAAATAGTGTGAAGGAAAGTGTGGCAAAAGTGATAGAGATATAAGGGAGGTGAAAGGGTGAGAGAGAGAGGGAGGCAAAAGGGAGAAGAGTGCGGCGAAAGGGAGAGAGAGAGAGTCAAGAGAGAGGCGAAAGGGAGAGAAAGAGTCGAGAGAGAGGCAAAAGGGCGAGAGAGAGGCAAAAGGGCGAGAGAGAGAGGCAAAGGAGAAGTAAAAGGGTGAGAGAGAGAGAGAGAGAGACAAGAGGGATGTGAAAGCGGAAGAGAGAGAGAGAGACAAGAGGGATGTGAAAAGAGAGAGAGACAAGAGGGATGTGAAAGAGAGAGAGAGACAAGAGGGATGTGAAAAGGAAGAGAGAGAGAGAGACAAGATATATGTGAAAAGGAAGAGAGAGAGAGACAAGAGGGATGTGAAAGGAAGAAGAGAGAGAGAGAGACAAGTTTCTTTTAATCCAGGAAGAGAGAGAGAGAGAGACAAGAGGGATGTGAAAGCGGAAGAGAGAGAGAGAGACAAGAGGGATGTGAAAGCGGAAGAGAGAGAGAGAGACAAGAGGGATGTGAAAGTGGAAGAGAGAGAGAGACAAGAGGGATGTGAAAGTGGAAGAGAGAGAGAGACAAGAGGGATGTGAAAGTGGAAGAGAGAGAGAGACAAGAGGGATGTGAAAGTGGAAGAGAGAGAGAGACAAGAGGGATGAGAAAGTGGAAGAGAGAGAGACAAGAGGGATGAGAAAGTGGAAGAGAGAGAGACAAGAGGGATGAGAAAGTGGAAGAGAGAGAGACAAGAAGGATGAGAAAGTGGAAGAGAGAGAGACAAGAGGGATGAAAAAGTGGAAGAGAGAGAGACAAGAGGGATGAAAAAGTGAAAGAGAGAGAGACAAGAGGGATGAAAAAGTGGAAGAGAGAGAGACAAGAGGGATGAAAAAGTGGAAGAGAGAGAGACAAGAGGGATGAAAAAGTGGAAGAGAGAGAGACAAGAAGGATGTAAAAGCGTGAAAGAGAGAGACAAGAGGGATGTAAAAGCGTGAGAGAGAGAGAGAGTGACAAGAGGGAAAGAAAAGTAAATGTTATAAAACTGCACTAGACAAAAGTGAAATTGAAAGAATATAATTTTTTTGCTGATTTTAGAGGAACTATAAGAGACTATAAATGAGTATTTTCCAATAAGCAATTTGTTCAGAAAATGGCTGTCTTTTGTCAAGTTCACATATACTTCCATAAATGCTTACAACATAAATGTTATGTTTCAGGAAATCAATAATTTACAATATTAACAGCTGGTTCCCTATAACATTTACTAATCAAATAAAGCAAATTGAATGCATTGATAATGAACCTGAGTACTGCCAATACAAACATCTCAACTAAAGAATGGTTCCACATAAAATTTGATGGTCAGTTAAAGACAGCAGAATAAAAATGAGCCAATGACAGCATCAAAATTGCTTACATTTGGGCCAGAGGTCTGTGATGTTTATCAACCATGTCAGGTCATTGTAACCCAGAATGATAAAAGTTAGATAAACTTTAATCATAGATGTTTGCCCATCCTTCCAGATAGTAGATTCAGTAACAAAACTTATACAAATATTATGGCACATAGACTAACTGGAAGTACTTTAAAGCATTTAAATATATATATATATATATATATATATATATATATATATATATATATATATATAAAATATTGCACCAATCAGTACCTGAAGATTGCAGCAGGCATGAAAGGCAGAATTGTACCAAACAGTAAGGAAAAAAAAAAGTATTTATTAATAGTGTGTGTGTATATATATATATATATATATATAATTATTTATTTATTTATTTTCCTTTTGTCTTTATACATATGTATCAGACAATTAGTACTGAATGACAAAAAAATTCCTAGTGATGTCCAAGAAATAAACTTCTTCAAACTAGTAACAGATGTAGCAAAACTGCACTACAGTCAACTTACTAATCCTCTACACTAAATTTACACCTAGGATCATGAAATAAACATCTCTTCATCATAAAATGAGTACTGATACTGAATGTGGTATAAGTAAAAATAATAATGATAAAAATAAAAGACAATAGAAAGGTGACTGTGAGTAGGTAGCCAAGTATGACATTCCGATGTATCAGAAGTCAAAATATATATTAGAAGGCTGAGTGCCTCTGTATCTGTAACATTTTGATGTAAACTGTACTCCCACCTGACATTTCTGCCTTTTATATATAAAACTGATTGCACCACTAAGAAGTTTTTTGTATAGTGTCATATATATATATATATATATATATCAATAAATGTAGTCTTAAGGTGTGCTATATTTATGGGATAAAGTGCTCAATATCAGAGATAGCGTGTGTGTAAATATAAAAGTGGCCTGATGATTGTTTCTAGCATGAAACAGACTGTCGCCTCTAAGTGTTGACTTCTATGTTCACTTTTTCTCTATCAACTGTAACTTATTATTTATGCCAAGCTAACCATATGCACACAGAATTATGCATAAAAAAGCTTTTGGTGTAGAAAGATGCCCATTTTTTGGTTAGCTTTAAAAAAAAATGCTGACAAAGAGATGCTGAAAAATTCTCAATTCAATCAACAAAAAAAAAAAAAAAAGATAATGTATTGGGACGAGAAATTTTCAGCATATGATGTACATATTACTTCATTGGTGGCTATTACTATTACATTATCACGTATATTAACACTGATAAAATCATATCTCTAAATTTTCTTTCTTCACAAGAAACTACCATTAGGTTTATGTACATAACAGATGATAGCACTCATATGATAACCAAAGCAAAATTAAAACAACTGATTACAGTTTATATAAATACACCTCACAAAATACCCTTGTTTTTTGTTAAGTCAAACCTTTTTCTCATTTTTCTGGCACAACTTTACATCTTTGGATATAAAATAAATATAATTTTTTCAAAATAAATTTCTTACACACATAATCAAAAGAGGCGTTTATTAACAAGTTTATATTTTTTCTTTTAATTAGTAATCATAAAATTGTATAATATTTAGTATACAATTAGTAATGAATTTTATAATAATTAGTAATCATAAATTATAAGCAGAAAAGCTACCCAGCAGGTGGGATTTCAAGCAAGTTCCTGCAGAAGGCAGAAATGGAGCTTTTTGGTTCCAATAATAAATAGTTAATGGTTTTAAAATATGGATTTATTGAATCATGCCATATTTGAAAATTATCATGATGAAATCTTGTCACATTTAATTAAAATATTTGGAGTAGGGTGGATTTCACAAAATATTTCAAGTACCTGCATTTTTTATAAAGTCGATTTTTTTTTTTAAATTATTTTATTGTATCTTTATTGCAGCAATAAATACAGGCATAACAGTGAATTTTGTTTTTGAGAGGACTTTTTAGTTACTAAAAACCTTCCAGAGATTACCATGCCATTTGTAAACCCCCTAGTAACCATTGCTTGTACAACAAACCAGAAAAATACCAACAATGGTTTTAAGTTTTCATTTTCCAGTGGCTGGAAAAAGTTATAATTTTGAATTCTGGTCAAAAAGTTTTCTACTATTCCATAATTGCCCAGACATTTTTGTAAGGATATCTGCCAAGAGAATAGAATATAGGTGGGGGTTCAGGCTTTTTCCAAGGACATTTGTATCAAGAAACAAATAGCCTCAAACAGAAATTGAACACTGTTTGCTAATTCCATTTCCCCTGGTGATAATCATCCCCACACCACCAGTAATTAGTAATTATATGAATATATTGGATACAAGACAAAATTATAAAAGAAAAGGAACATACCTCAACTAATGCCTCCACAGCACCAAGAGTCTCTGAGTGAGATGAACTGTCAGAGGGTCTCACTGTCTGCATAGTGACCAATAATCGCCGATTTACAACACAATGCTCAACTAAGTTGATCAATAATCCAAGGCCCTGAGGGGAAAGCAAAAAAACATGCTTAAAAAATATAAACAACAAAAAGTCAAAAGTAGCAACAAAAAGCAAAACATTTTTCTTGCTGAAAATGCAGTAGCTGAATTCAACCATATAAATATCAATGGACTTGCAAATGATATACCTAAGAGCAGAGATTATATATATATATATATATATATATATATATATATATATATATATATATATGTGTGTGTGTGTGTGTGTGTGTGTGTGACACACACACATATACAGAATGCGATGGATAAATTGTCATCTAAATTATGAAAAATGAAAATAACACTGACATCTCATTTTAACAGATATATTTACCAAAATTATACAAAAATATCTTGAAATACTAAAGAGTAAATTTATTCAATAAAATTGCCATTGGCTTCAATGATGTGGGTGCAGAAATTGTCTGACAGCCATGACTGGCATGGTGAAGAGTCCTGTTGGCAGACATAGGGTCTTCCAGCAGCCACCCTCTTGGCCCAGGGCAGCACTACCTCCTCAAGCCACTTGATGTAGACATCTGTGTTGAGTCTGTGGCCCTCACAAAAAAAATTAGGGAGTTCTTATCAGAATGATCAGAATAAGTTTTCCGAGTTGCTGTACCTTTGTAATCATTCACCCAACTCATTCTGAATCCTCTGTATTTTCCTCAGCTTCATACCAAAACACTTTGAGATGATCATATTGGACATTCTGGCATGAATGCCAAGCAGTACAGCAAGCTATTTTCCAAATTTCTGGCAGAGTGAATTGTATCATGGTGCTCTGTTTCTCACAGACAGTGCTCAACATACCCTACTATACTGTGAAGTCAACAAAATCAAAAAACGCACATGCACGAAATTAAAAATATAAAATGGCGACAATTTTCCCATCACAGTACCTCTCTCTTGCTGTCATATATATATATATATATATATATATATATATATGAATGAATGATATATAGAGAGAGTGAGACATACAGGGTTCCTACAAAGAAGTTTCAAGACTGAAACTAGTTTGCGTGCATGCATGGACACACAAAGTGAATGGTAATCAATTTCAAAAACACTTTGTGTTCTATCTTTTAATAGTTTGACAGATGCAATGTTCAAAAAGCTACAGCTGGTTCCAATAATTCATGTCATATAAATCAGTTGAAAGCAGTGAAGAAATTCAAGTGTTGAAGGCTTAAAAAAAAAAAAAAAAATGAATGCAGACCTAGTTATATTACACATTTTGTGTGGCATTCTACATAGTTTGGAGTTCTACTACACTTGAAAATTTTGAATTACTTTAATTCTTACTGCTACACATTTCAGCTATGTAGACGACAATTTTGATATCTCATATGGATTTGTCCTTTGCAGATCTTCACATGGCATTGGTCTTTGCAATAAGTGTGAAGTTTTGAGTCTGCTCAGCTTTCTTCACATAGCTGTCAGCTGACTTGAGCAAAATTTTGTGAGCAACTTTCAAGCTTGTGTCTTTTGGTCTTCAGTTCTTCAGTTTCCATAAGCATTCATTTCCATTTTGTCCAGTTGTTTCTTCCTGCCTTTTTCTTCTCGGCCTAAAGGTATCGGTTGTATGCTATTCTGGCATTGGAAGCATTGTAAAGAGCCTTAGTCATGGGAACATTCACAGCAAATTCATCTGTAGCCAAATAGTCCATGATAATGCGCTGTGCAACTAGAGTCTGCTGTTTCATATTGTCAGTGGAAATTTTCTTATTGACTGAGAAACTTCTCTCCACTAAGGCCTGTCCATGAGAGAATACCAACAGAGAACAACTTTCTACAGATTTTGGTATTCTTTGTTGCTAGAGAAAGAAGAGTAGAACTAAGTATCCAGATGGTTTACATGCTGGCTGAAATTCTTGAAAGCAATATTTCCAGCACCCTCCTCAAATGCAAAAAAACCGACTGATGATGTCATCACAATCATACTTGCTGACTTGTTTTCTATCCCTCATGTGGGAAAGACATCTTTTTAGACTGCCTTCTGTGGGAAATTTTTTTTTCCACAAATGGAAAATGGATCCAATGTTCAACCCATGCAAGTGACCTTATATAATTGCCAAATATTACTGATGACTTTAAAAAAAAAAAAAAAAAAAAAAAAAAAAAAAAAAAAATTTTTTCTTTCTTAAAAGGACAATTTTAGCTTGTAAGAAAGCCAGATTTCTGGGATTTCACATTTTGACTTTCATGAATCGAGAAAAGGGATGCACAGGCAGCCAAATTTAGAAAGTTCCAGGACTTTTTAAGGAGCTTTTCAGCTATTGCTGTTTTCCATGACTTTTCAAGCCATGGAAAAGGACCTGTCAATTTTCTATGACTTTTCAAGGTTTCCAGGACGTGTACAAACTCTTCAGAGAAAATAAATGCAAATGACAGTGTAACACTGTATCACACTTTTTCACTTTTATTCCTAGAGGCCATAATACAACATGTTATACCATTTTCAAATCAGGTCGACTCTATGAACAAATTAAAAACTTTCTAGGCTGGATCCAGGCCTGCCATCCTGAAATTTTGGACTCCTAAGTTTTCATTACTGCGATTGTTTTTGGCGATTTTTTTACGTGATTATTTGTGACAATTTTTTTTGTACAATAACAATTTTTATAAATTGGAAATAAATTTAGGAATAATTGAAATTAATTGTGATATCCAGTGAAAGTCACTTATGAGATAAAAATAATCATTTGTACAGAAAGTAAGGACCTACATACATCAAATTGTCTTTAAGTAACCGCAGAAGAATTATCGTTGAACTCTTAAAAAGTAAGCTTAAATATCAATGCAATACTTAAATGTACAATCAATTTTGAGTTTTTCTGTAATTTAATGTTGCCTATTGCATCTACTCCTCTATGAAGTATACCGAATTTTATATATATATATATATATAAAATTCGGTATACTTCAGGTGAATAAATGAAAAATCTTTCTTGAAGTTTCCAGTAAGCAAATGCTCTGTAGTGTATTTCAAATAAATTCTATTTATTGGAATTGATTCATTTTTTTTTGGCTAAAAGTAGCTAATTAGTACACTTTTTTAGCCATCTGTCATCGCAATGAATTTTTCTTTATTAAAAAAATCTTCCAAAAATAAAATATAATTTTCTGAAACTTTATTTGAAGAATATTAGCCGATTTAAAGTAGAATTAATCTAATTTGAAAAAAAATATTATTTACTTTAAGTTGAAAATAACAGAGAAATGGGTTTTTAAAACAAATAGTAGTGGTGATTAAGTGCTTATCAAGTGATTTATGAGGTGTTGACATGTTCATTGTTGTTCTACGGAGACTTTATCTGGTAAAACATAATTTAAAAATATGATGAGTAAACACTTTTTTTATATATATTTTAAATACTCAGCAATCTTAAAAATGCTGGAAATATTCTCCATAATCTAATTTTAGGAATGTTGACATTAAATTTACTATCATGATTGATCTTATTTTCTGATAATGTCATGTATGGTCACCCTACTTTCAAAATGGGCATGTTTATACACAAAAAAAAAAATAGAAATTATTTTAAAAATATTAGAGCATATATCAAACTTTACAATTTTCAATTAGTAAATATAGTCTTTACTTAAAAACCTAATGAGGACAGAGTTTGAAAGAATTATTAAAAGATTTTTTTTGACACTTTATAAATTATTATAATTAAAAAATGAAAACAATTCTTGTAAAAATTCATTATTCATTAGAAAAAATTTTTTTGTTCAGCTTATAATGTCCTTAATATTATATTATTTATAAAAGCAATTAAATGCTTATCTAATTATATAGTTAGATAGTTTTATTGCAGTTTTTATTTTATGATTCGAAGCAGATTTTCGGGAAAGGATTAAAAGTTTGGGGGGATAAAAAAATTATGTTTTACATTCTCCAAGGAGTCCTGTGTTTAATTAATAAGTCAAATTAGGAGGATGGAATTTAATCTCTAAAAATTTCATGAAATTAAGTGGGGATGGGGGTGTAACATATGTGAAAAAAAATTTTTTATGAAGATTTTGTAAAAATAATAATTTTAAAAATAAATTTACTCATTTGTAAATAAATCTTGAAAGTTTCATTAAAATCTGACAGTTATTTGATTTTTGCAAGAATTTCCAAATTAATGTGTTATTTTGCCAGAAAAGATGGCACTAAAATTTCCATAGCTGCTACACCATTGATGCATATAAAAAAAAAAAAAAAAAAAAAAAAAAGATTTTTAACCAAAATTTCAAACGTATTAGAAAGGAGTAAAGACTTTTTAAAATATAATTAAAATATATTTTGCTCTTTCTTCTTAATAATAACAAACATTTTGACGATAAAACTTGTTTTTTTTATCATGGTATGCTCTTTTTTTTCAACAAATTAGTGGAAGAACCTAAAGAGAGAGAGATATATATATATATATATATATATATATATATATATATATATATATATATTATATACACACATTTAATAGTCATGCAAGAAAGCATTAATGCGACAAAGAGGAAAGTGTTCAAAAAAGTAAAATAAAATACAAAGCTATGAAATGGAAAATAGTTTATATTTGTATTGTTTAAATAGTATATTTACTTACCAGAACTAATAAATCAAATCGCTTGCAGGCAATTGTGTACTGAGGCACCTGGAGGATGCAGTCAAACACGGTTTGAATCAGTCCTTCTTGGGATCCGACTTTTGTGCTGCCATAATCTGAAAACAAACAAACAGCAAACAATTCAAATGAATAACTCCTAATATTATTTTTCTACAGCTCTTTATTTTTTTCAATTTACTGTAAGCCACAAATTACAGGATTTCAAGTCAATTTATTATCTTCAACATATGCTATTTGCCCTAACTTTTTTTTCAGTGGAACAAGATCCAAATATTCAAGTCATTGCAAAATTGGGAGAAAAAGCAACAATAAATTGAAAAAAAAAAAAAAAAACAAAAACAAACAAACATTAGTCAATTCTCAGAATTAGTAAAAACAAAACTTTTAAGATTTTGAATAGTGAGTTGGTGATATAATTGAAGTCTATAATTATTACATATTACAAAAACCATGGTAAATATTATTAATATTTGTAATGACATAAATAAGTCCAATAGATTTATCAAACACATGGCCCTGATGAGCATTTCAATGAGAAATTCTTCAGTAGGCTAAACAGATAAGTCACCTGAACTTTTCTTAATTTATTGATTATTAAAGCTCTAATTACCTATAGAGTGTTTTTTCGCAGAAGATTTGGTAACCTGGAAAAACATGTAAAATTCTCTTCACATATTTCCTCATATTGCATATGTTTAAAACTGGTTAAACATTGACAGTGAAAACACCTCACCTCAAAAATTAAATCTTTTTTTTGGTCTTTCATTTATTTGTAATCTATTCAAAGGATATTTCCTGTTGCTTGTTTTTTGTTTTTAATCAGAGAGACGTCAACTCTATTCTTTGTAGACTTGATGCTTTCATCTTCAAGTAGAGGAATATAAATATAAGCAGTATCAAGGATCATCATTTTTTTTTGTGCTGATTTAGCAATGATACTCTTGTTATCTTTCCTGAACTAAGAAGGGTTGAAAATGGATTCATTCTTCCTTTCAAACATTAGAACAAAGCTTTTTGTTGCCTCTCATATATTATGTTAAGTAGACTGTTGTAAATGCATATAGAGGAGAGAAGGATGTGTAACTGATAAATATAAAAAAAAAGCCATATTGTTTTATATTATAGTACAAATAATTAAACAAATAGTAAATCTTGTCATTTTCTTTTATGACACAGCATACAAAAAGATAAAATCTGTCAGAGAATTTACTTTTAATATTTAATTTTTCAAATGCATTTTCAGTAGGAGTAATGTCAGATTTTTATCTATACATTTAACTTTATTGTCACATGTAAGACTCTACTCTATTTACTAATAAGATATTCTGTTGCTATGTTGTTAACATGAAGCATGTTTGTGTATTGGTTTCAGGTAATACCTCCTATTTCCATAAGAATACAATATATCATTATAGCAAATAGAGGAGATAAGAATACCTTAATGACAAACACAGAAAGTTAAAACACTGTTACAGAATATATAATTAGACAAATTAATAAATGCAATCATTTTTATAAATGCAAATGCAAAATGACAAAAAAAATCACAACCATAATGGAAAAGGCTAAACCAAACATTTCATAATGCAATATTTGTTTTCATCTATTGCAGGAGGTGCTGGCTAAATGTTTTGAATCCAAAACCCTAACAATATAAAGTGCTTTTTTTCACCCACTTATGAATGATACAGTTTTGATAGGGGCTAAAGCAGATCTTAACAAACGCTATGATTATTTCCAATGTGAAATCAATCACTAGCAAATAGATTCTTAGCAAAAAAAAAAATGATGATCAAAAGAATCTCTACAAATGGCCAAAGTGTAAACCAAAAATGTCATTACAACTCCATGGCTGCCAGCAGTAGCATCAGGTGCTATGGCAACAAGCCAAGGTTCATGGAACCACTTGTATTATTCATTTACCCTTGACTCAGAAGGACAATGTCATATAAGATTATATAGTAAAGTTTATTCATACACAGTAATAGAAGAATAATCAAGACTATATTTGCCTTCCAAGTAATTATGCACAGAGGAGAAGGCAACATTTCAAAAGTTGGTGAGGTACACAATAAAACAACAATTAACAAACCAAGATAATTAAATATCTGGAGTGCCTCACCACACACTAAGAGTTTCAGTCTGTCTATAGAGTTTGATCCTCACTGAGTGCCCTATATTATGGCCTAGTGCCAGACTAAACAAAAAAGTCAATGCAGGATAGTTTGCCATTAGGTAAATGGTTAGCAAACCTATCAGACAATTACTACAGTGTAGAGAATTTGATCCTCACTGGGTGCTCCACATGATGGCCTTGTGTTAGACTAAACCAAGTTAATACAGGGTGGCCTTGTGCCAGGCTAAACCAAGTTAATACAGGGTAGTTTGGCATTAGGTAAATGGTTAGCAAGCCTGTCTATCAGACAATTACTACTGTGTAGTGAGTTTGATCCTCACTGGGTGGTTTGTATCAGATTAAATACCTACAATTAAGGAAAGCTTTGATCAAAATTCCATCACTAATTTAAATAAGTTGCATGACAAAAATTCCAAAATTATAATTACGTTTTTATACCTTTAATTTCAAAAGCAATATTTTTATCCTTGTAAAATCATATAAATCCAAATATACAAGTACATGCATAATTAACAGATAATATATAATAAATATTAAGTGAAGCTGATGATGATGATAATAATAATAATAGCAACCAAAAAAGAAAAAAAGAAAAAAAAGAGTTGGTCTTAACCTACCATTTTCATGTGTCAAGTTGAGTAAAACCCGTAATACAGCCAGCATACAGCTGAAGATGATCCAACCATTGGATTCTTTGTCTATTTTACTGTCACCGGGTCTATCAGAATCATCCTCTAATGGGAAGGCAGTGATGGCATGCTGGCAGTGCCGCAGAGCACTGAAAGAAAGAAGATGAAGAAAAAATAGTCAGAACATGAAAATTACTCAATAACATATTTAAAAGCTGGAGACTTTATATTTGTCTTAATTAAAGTAACGTATATCTTAAAAGGTAATTGCATAATACCTGTCAAAATGATGGTGTTATTTTACATATGAATGAAAAGTTCTGCCTATGCTCAGAATATATCACTTGTTTATGTTCAAGTCAGATTTAGTTTTATATAAATGTTTGCTTTCAAAGAAACCTCCAGAACAAGTCACATTATTTAAAACATGAAAAAAGAAATTCTAAAATTGTGGTGAGAATGTTACTGATAGCCTTGTTATTCTCATTAACTCTTAATTCATGACTAATCACTTTTTGACTAATTTTCAAAACAAATGGACAGATGAAATATTCTCATATTTTTAGCAAAACAATAACTGCAAACTTCCATATCTAATCAGCCCTACCTCCTACACACAAGGCATCTTCAGTTTGTTAATGCAGAAAATAAACTAAAGCTGGGGAAGTGGAGGAGTAGCAGTAAAGTAAGTGGGTAGCAAAAAAAAAAAATCTGTTAAATCAGTTACAAAAGGCAATCATTACTTCAATTTTGTGTGTGTGTGCTCGCAATAGACCAAAGTATTACAACAGAACCAATGCATGGTATGATGTCATAGGTCCACATCTTGAACTTATGCTGCATCTACTATTCTGTGACGGTTATCATCGCATAGCAATTTCCTACGTCAAAATAACAAAATATCATCTTTGATGATGGATATCTTTGTTTCATGTCTGTATAACCATTTTGAGGATGTCTCATGTGAACTGAAAGCTTAGGACCAACTTAATAAAAAAAATTTTGGACAATTTTTGTCTTTATTTTTACCAGAAATTAAAGCAAACATTAGAACAGCTCATAATCAAACATAATAGACATTCATTGTCTGTTATATTTAATAATATATGTTTAAATAATGAACTGTTGCCCCAATACACTATATATATATATATATATATATAAAAAACAGGTGTAACAGCATGGGATAATTGTCCAGCACACAAAAGTTTAATATCTATAAAAAAAAAAAAAAAAAACACACACACACACACACTAAACAAATTGAGTTTCTTTTACCCAGGTTTTCAATTAAGATGTTTAGCCATCTTGACATTATTTGCCATAAGAATTACTGAAAATCCTTTGACTTATTCAGCTAGAAAGAGGACAGGTTAAAATCATTTTATTTCAACCCCACTATGTCTTCCCAACTGACTAATGGTGAGAAGAAAAAGATCATTCAATGTGTGTATATATATATATATATATATATATATATATATATTATTAAGGCTATTTCTATATATACAAGGTCTTGGTGTGCTGTGTGAGCTATGGGCAAAAGAGGGATAAGCAGATTGTGTTATCATCTAATATGATATCTTGGGATTATATAACTGTAATCTTAGCATTTAGTTTGCTTAGTGTGCAAGAAGAGATGAGAGCTGTGGCAGGACAAATTGTGGTTGCTTCAACGCAACAATGAACTTGCTCACAATGCAATGAACATCCGGCAGTTGCTGGCCGAATAGAACATTGACATTCTGATACAACCCTGCTATTTCCCTGATCTTGTTCCATGTGACTTTATTCTTTTCTCCCAAACTCAAGTGGATCATCAGTTTTGAAGGCATGGAGGGCATCAAGAGAGCGTTAATGATGGAGCTGAGGGTCATTACTTTGAAGGGTAAAGTATGTAGTTTGTTGTTTGGAATTTAAATAATTTTTTTTGTGACACTAGTCCAATTACTTTTCAGACAAACTTCATACACATACACACACATATATATGTATAAAATTGAATATAAAAGTCAAAGCAATACATAGTATTTTGTTATCTAAACTCATATATTCTAAAAAATACATTTACATAGAAACTATTTTACAAAAATTGTGTAAAATTCATAATTTTTTCTTTTTTTTCAAAAGAAAACATTCATCCATGAAGAGTATCTTCATTGTTAAATTTGAGTGAAAAATATTTTAAAGTAAAAAAATTAATAAAATATAAAACACTGAAACTACTTTGGAATTTCAATTTAAAATGAAGTGTAAATAATTTTTTTTCAATAAATAAATGAAAGTTTAATGAATCTCTAAAAGTTAAAAAAAATACTGAAAATAAAAATAACCACATTACATCATCAACACTAGAAATTACAAAGACATTCTGTTTGTAAATCTTGAATTTTGCTTTAGGAGTCATAAGTGTGAGGAGTCAACTAAAGATATACACATGTGAAAGCAGATAAAAATTAGGATGACTGTGGGAAGATAAAATTGAAGAATGCAGATATAGGAAAAAAAAAAAAAAAAAAAAAAAAAGAAATCTATTCCCTCACCCCCAAACAACATTTACATGAGAATACAAACAGAACTGCTGCCTTTTTATCTAACAATGTATCATTAGCTTCCTACTGAACAAAGTCTGTTTGAAAGATTTCTTTGGTAAGCATTTTAAAAAGGAATATATCTCTAAAACAAACACAAATATATTCTGATGAAGTAGCTAAGTCAACAGGTGTCACATAACAGACAGATAGCATTCAAACTACCACTTGAATATAGAGACTGTTGAAGAACCTCAGGTGTCGTAAGCAAAAATCCAGCCTCTTCTTAGAGGATATCCAACCTGCAGGTATCAGGCCAATCTAAGTGTCATATAAATAATACTTTTTTTGCTGTCACAAGTCTTATTATAAAAAGAAAATAATAATTTTGGCAAACAACATCAGTGTTTTTTTTTCTAATTCATCAGTAAATGTATTTTTTTTAAAAATCTCAATATATATCACAATATATATATATATATATATATATATATATATATACACACATTATAAATTAACTGATTTAAAATATGGTTTTTTGCTACAGTAATAACCCTGTTTCAAAAATGAAAGCTAAAAACGTTAAATTTAATTATATAATTAAATTAAAAGCATTAGTTCCATTTCATCTTCAAGCAAATATTGGAATTCCAATATTTGCTTTTAGGTGAAACAGAATATTTTAAATCAGTTAATTTATATTATTTATGCTCTGTAAATTTACATTGAGCCCTGTTTTGTAAAAATAAAAAATAACAAGATCACCAGATTATATATCTTACTGGTCTTTCTTTTTATATATATATATATTAAGAAATGGACAAAGTCCGACATAACATATATATATATATATATATATATATATATATATATATATATATATATCACACAATATATCATCATTGATAGCTTCAGGTCTTTCAACATCATACCATCTTGATCAACTGATCCCACCATTGTAAATCATATGACAACACACATCCCAGCAGCAAACTATGCTTAACCTTCATTGTATTGTATTAATTTAATTCAATGAAGAATAACTGTTCTGGCACTAATTTGATAGTATCTGATCAGTACACTAACCAATAAGAAACATTCCTTCCTATTTGTTTTGTTTGTGAGATATATTTGTAATGTTTGCAAGTCTGGTATAAATTACAATGTTGCAAGTCTCATTAGGATGATTTTTTTTGTTTTGAATTTTGGTTCTCACTCTCCTGTGACAATGGTGACAAGTACAGCACAATATCTCTGTCAATGAAAATCATTGATTTCTGCTAAGTCACAAGCGCTTGCTTTTCAATATCAAACTTCTTTTCTCTTTAAGCCTCTACTATACTTTTATTTCACTGTTTACACCTAACATGCACCCCCGCCCACAAAAAAAAAAAAAAATCCAACACTACAAAGGACACAACAAGAGACAGATTTCTTTAATATAAAATCTCTTCAAAATCCAATTTGAATGAGAAATAGAAGCTTCTAAACCAAAAACACTTAAAGAGTAATCAAAAGATATCTCAGTCAACAAGTGAAAAAAATTACTGGTTCCACTCAAAGGAGAGGTTAGAAGAGATCAGCTGTTTGGCAAATTAAAGCACCTACACTATAAGTAAAGCTTTGGCTCGAGTAAATATAACCTCATAGTATCGGCAAATGTAATACAAGAATAAAAGTACAAGTCTATTAAGCTGACATGATACAGGCAATTTCTTACTCTGCCCTAGTTGTTGAAATGCATACATATGAGAAACAGTGAAAGAAGTCTTGATTCACTTTCTTATCAATATCACTCAGATGTTTACATAACATGCATAATCTAATAGTTACACACAATCATACATAGCTGCAAATATAGACTAACAGAGATAAACATACATTTCTTTATATATATATATATATATATATATATATATATATATATATATATATATATATAGATAGATAGATAGATAGATAGATAACTTTATTTTTAGTGGATAACCATATTTGAGCAGATGTTCCATTTATTTTAAACAGTATTTTATTTCATCTACCAGCTTGAAAAATTATTAAAGAAAATGGTCCCCAACACACAGTAAAAGAAAAAAAAGAAAAATCAGATTAAAAAATAATAATTAATTCTTTAAAAATTGCTTTGTTTACATTCCAGATATGAAACTGAGCAATTATAACTTTCAAGAAAATTTGAGTAAGTAAAATGTGCTTTAAAGGCAAATAGAACCTTGCTTGTTTGTGAAGCTCTTTGTGGGCAATTAGTCAAAGAATTTTGAATTAAATAGTGGGTTTCTCCTGCAAAGAAGGATGCAGGTTCAAATCCTGATGGATGGCACATTTTCTTTAATAAGTTTTCTCGCATGAGCAGGCTGGTAGACAAAAATATAATATTGTTTAAAATAAACAGAGTGTCTATTCAAAATAAAAGTAATAAAAGTATGTCAGATTTAAAAATAAAATCTATTAATTCTTTTGAAATATATATGTAAATTGCTAAATTTGCAGCCTGACCTGTAATTACTAGCTGAATTTTGATCTGGAATTTTCATTGTAATTATACAAACTATAATCAATCTATGTGATGAATCTTCACCACTGAATTGAAAATGACTGCGGCT